CGGGGATTTCAACGTACGACCTAAGGCAAACCCAGGAGCGCCAGTCTCCAGGACACGCTGGGGAGATCCGCCAAGACCAAAGTTGACAGAGAACCATAACTCAGCCACCTTTTCAAAACTGAACCGTCAGTAGGTCTGTCCTACTGGGAAGGGAAGGAGACAGAGCCCCAGCTCCCGTAACCTGCCCAGGAGCATAGAAGCTTCTTCCCGCTTGTTCCCCCTGGTGTTGCTCTCCTTGCCCACCACCGCGGTGCGACGCGGCACCAACTCCGGCTCCGTTCCTCAGCTCCTGGGGCGGACAAGGCCCTCTCAGGTCCCAGAGAAGGGCTGGAGAAGGCGCTCTCACCTTGTGAGCGTCCATCAGGTTCATGACCAGATCCAGGTCGCCATGGACGGGCTGGTCTTCAGCCAACTGGGGCTCCACCTTGTAGAGCCAGTCCACCAAGGCCTGCAGCGCGTCCATGAACTGCCCGGAGAACAAGAGGGCTTCTTCCAGCTTGTGCTGCCTGGAAAACGAACATCCCTGTGGGCTTCCATGGAAGGACTCCCCTCCTTTGTGACCCCGTGACCTCCTCCGACCGCCCCACGGCTCTGCCCCCTCTCCTCTGCTCCCCACTTCGCCAAGCCCTTGTCTGGCGTTGGGCTCACCCTGATCGCTGGCGTTGGGCTCACCTTTCCACGGATTTGCCACACACTGTGTCCCACTTATCCCGCACTTCTCCCAGTAAATTGTCCAGCTTCTGAGTGTCATCTGGAAGCAAGGCTTTCTCCTTGAGGGCTCTGCCTGTTCTGATGGTGGTGTCGTAGACCGGCTGCTTCCCCCCCAGCGTCTTCTGGAACTCCTGGGAACCACAGAAAACTGTCTCAGAATTCCTGCTCTCTGCTTTCGGAAGCTCCGCGGGGTTTGCAAAGGTCCCCAGCTGAGTCTTCCATGGCAGCGGTAAGTGTGAATGTGCCTTTTCCCTGTCGTGACCGCAGGGGAGGTGCTGCCCTGCTCCCCCTCCCGACACAGCACCCTTCCACCCAGCACCGGGCTCTCTCTGGCGAAGCCCTACCTTGTGTTTGGAGAGCTGGAGCTTGATTTTGTCAGGATCATTGGAAATCTCCAGCTCTGAGTCCAAGTGATTCTCTGCATCCTCCAGCCAATCGATCAGTTTCTTCCAAGCTTCGTGGAACTGCAAAGAAAGAGGAGCCAAGTCTGAAACTCAGCGCTGGTGGTGTCTCCCACCCCCTTCTGGTCTCGGGACCCCCTGTCCCCCAAGGCTGGCCATCCTTTGGGGTCCGGCATGCCCTTCCCACATTTCTCACCTGCTTGGCTCGCTTCCTGGCATCATCCAGAGCCCGTCCCCGCTCCACCGAGCGCTGGACGACCTTCTCCCAGCGGGCCTGGACGCTGACCAGAAGGGTCTTGATCAATACCACGTCCTGCTTTTGACTGAGGAACTTCAGCTGGTTCCCGGTTTGGTCCAGCTCGATGATCCGGTCCCGATGAGCGTTCACCTCGTTGGCAAACACCTGCAGAAGGCGAAGACGCGCTCGTATCCGTGAGGGGAGCCGGATGCGCCTGCCGGCAGGCCGGCGGAAGACAGGGGGGCGCC